TTTAAAAACACGGAACTTCTCAAAAAACCAACTAAAATCAATTTTAGTCAAACTAAATTAAAATAAAACTTGTATTTATGGGTACAAAATTCCGAGAGCAAAGCTGAGGGTATCACCTAGTTTATTACTGACTAGTTCATTTTGTACAAAATTTTCATCTACCTGCAACGTTTACATATTTTTGTTTTAAGAAAACCGTGCTTATTTTATAATCGCAAAAGTTTTGTAATAATGGATAAATGGATGGATTGTATAGTTAACCACTCTTTCTCGTAAAATCAACTAAAAGGAACTGATAAAATTTGACACAGAGACAGATTATATAAACTGGAATGACACATACGTTACTTCTGATTCTGTGGGCAAGTCGGCAGAAGATAGTAGTATCTTCTCTCCTAATTTTGCTGTGCCCGACAGGGTCCATATTATTCTATTAATCTAACATATATTATAACATCATTCTTTACACATGGAATTCAATAAAAGATTTATTGATTGATTGATTGATTAATATATTCATTTTATAGTGCCGACTGTAATGAAAAAAAAACCTTTATTTACTTTATAAAGCTTTGATTATGGCGGTTTGCCCAACAGTGTCTTTATTATAGAGGAAGGAAAATCATCATATGATTTGTCTTTCCCAGGGTAAGGCGAGAGGGAGTGATAGACTCTTAATGGCTTTAGTCATCATCCCGTTCCTTCTTCTGCTCCAGATACCGCAGTATCTTATTGCGTTTGGTCCGCATAGTGTGAACATGTTAAAAATCTTATATTTTGTCAGAAAGCGCTAATACTCGATCACTGTCAAATACGTATATTGTAGTTCCTTACTTGACTCCCACAGGAAGATTCAAGGTGGTAAAAAGGTGTCCTCTGTTGTCGACATAAAATCTAGAACAAAGTTTTAAAAAATTTAAATCATAGCTTATATTTGTACCCGCATTTGTTCTAAAAAAGCCGTCCTATTCAGTGAGATCACCTTTCTTCTAAATCACAGTGGAACAAAAAAAATGGTTAATTTTTTGTTTCAATTGCGATTAGGAATAGCCAGACGAACCCAAGGTCATAATGCCCGTTAACAATACAATGGTACAATACGCTTTTGAATTATTTTTCTTATCTTTACTTTTGTGGGTAAATAATAATTTATAAGGAGCTCAGAATAATAAAAATTAATAATGAAATGCAAATTCTAATACAATGGTCACTATGGTAAAAGCTATTTGTTCTCTTTATTCATTAAACATTTTTTTTACGTGGGTACTTTAAATTTGTATAGCCCCGTTTATACTACACAAGTTTTTTTTTTTCTTTTTGATATTTTACAATTTAATAAAGCAATTATGACTATGCAGGGTATCACGTAAAATATCCTTAAATTTAATTGATTATCTAAACTATAGCTCATGGTTGTTGAAGGCAATGGTAACGTGTATTAAATATGATAATTTGTGCATGTAAAATCAAAAGTGGCTTAATTTAGGATCTATGTATGTAAATAGCAGTATTTGTAATGCAGTAAAAAGGGTATTCTGTTCCTACATTTAAAATATTTCAATGAAACAGAACGCGACGATTATTAAACAGCAGAGGATCCTGCTTAATAATATTTTGAAAGTTCGTAAGAATGTATAGATGTGCCCATGTTTGTTATGAATTCTTTGGCGCAAAAACGACTGGATCGATTTGTAAATATATGTATGTGATACCCTGGATTAACCATGGGATTAACACACAAGCTGTTTTCATCAAACATACCAGAAGCGTAAGGTTAAAATATAAGACTATTATCAATGGAAAAATAGTTTTGCTAACATTTATTGTCGGTGACGGTAGATTTATATGTATAAGTAATCTTAGATTACTATACGATTGTTAGATTTGAAATTGAAACTGGAATGATAGTCTTTTAAGGCCCAATGTATTGTTTAGGAAAGTAGAGGAGATTGTCATGTGGTTTTCACTTCACATCATTTACACAAATTAGGTCCCAATCCACTATGCAGAAGATGTTTTAGTGCACAAGTGTGTGCGCAAACACCTTTTGCTCTTTGTTCTTTCACTATCTTAATCCAATGGAATTGCTGACCGACTCAACTAGATACTAGTCAGGCAGAAGAAGCAAGGGTTTTACGTGTCCCCAGGCACGGGATCAAAACACAGCTACACTTCCACTCCAGCCTAATTAAAGCACAATGAGTTCCCTGGGGCACCGCGGCCTCGGCCTAGAGCAGGAGAAGAAGCGGGTGTTTTTATTCAGTAAGTGTCTGACACTTCCACTTGCCTTACCCTGATCGCGAGAAGTCTAATAATTTTTCCCTGACAAAAACCGACCGACGCTGGAATCCTGGCCCAGCAGTGCTCTCAGCACCGGATTATAATATTGATATGTATCTGCATGTATGTACTATCAGTGTCATAAGTGCATGGATGATTCTAAATCAAAATCGTTTGTACGGCGTTTCATCGCCTTAATTATATACCATGGACGACATAGATGGCGCTAGTATACTAGTGGTATTGATAATAAATTTTTATACAAATTAATGCTACGATATTCCAAACCTTTTTAAAGCAAAGCACGCAATAACCAGGATTCGAACTCGGTAGCATAAAATTAACCGATGCCACTAGCCATAAGGCCATTACGTAACCTTGAAATGTATTGAAATTATCCTACTCTTTATATTATTGAAGTTGTTTAGCAACTATAACCCGATCATAAATCTCAAAACAGTTGAGGGTAATTTAAAATTAACTGTATAAAAATTAAACCTTTTTGTTCAATCATAACATTCTTTACTATGTTTGAGTGAGTTCAGTCACGATTTGTTTAACAAGATTTTAATATTTATTTTTATTATGAATTTGCGTTCAAATGTTAATATGGCTACGAGGGCCCAAATAATAGCATTGCATAATCAAAGCTTAAATTATACTGGAATTTCTAGAGAAACTGGCTTAAACGTAAATATTCTTATAAATGACCGTTTGTTATTTATTTTATTATCCATGGTTATCGATACATGAAAATAATAAATAATACACGTCCCTTACAGGTAAAGACTGCCACTTTATGGATATCTAAAGCTGTTTCAAGAAGAGGGTTCATTGGAGCACCGTAGTGGATCTGGCAGAAGACGTGATATTGACTCAGACCAGTTTCAACTTATGGGGCAAGGTTATGAGGAAAATTACTGGAGCATTGTCATCTTCAGTGATGCAAACAGTGAAAACTACATAGATGTGCTGAAAGACGTCATGGAGATGTGCTAGTGATAACGTTCGTGCAGGACAATTGTTCTATGTGTAATGTTCCATAATTGTGCAAGTGTTTAGTCAGCAATCAGACATACGGATTATTCCTTGGCCAGCGAGATAGGAGAAATAGGATCGATAAAAATGGCGGCTACACTAGTTCTTAAAAGAAAAGACATTGTTGACTATAGGATTAAGCAATTACAAGACCGGGGTAGCTATAATTTATTTAATGGATAAATGTTCAAACTTAATGTTAATAGGAAAAATTTATTGACTACTTTATAACCAGCGACTGTTATACAGTAATGATTTTAATGTTTTACTAAATATGAGAAATAAAAGCAATATTAATATTTACAGATGCTATTGATTGCAAAATAATAAGTTATTTATTTATTAATTACTATGAACAATTCGTCCCATATCTAGTGAATGCATTAAATAACTTTTATAATATGTGCTAACTATTAATGTAAAAGTAACATATTTTTCTTACAGATTAAGACTAATACTTACTAAGTTTAATTCTCATAAAGGATAACAAATAAAACTATTTTAGTGACATTATAATTTCAGACGTTTATTTCTTAAAACATAATATTTATTTCTTTCTTATATCGTGTATGTCCTGACCTAATAACTTTTCAGCTAACTGACACATTACTTAATACTAACACTTTTTATAAGATTAATAAGTATTTTAAATCAAAATTGTGTTGTGCTAGTCATTTATTAGTTAGTTTTAAACACAATGTTATAATACGATTCTATATAATATGCAACCTTACTTCTGCAACTATTTTACCTCCCCATAAAATTTAATTAAAGTATTGACTAAAGTGATTCATTTTGTGCATCATGTTATGACAAAGGCTCATAGCTTAAGTATTCGTTCCAGAACAAGCAAGAAATTGAAGCTAGACCTTAAATCAATAACATTTTGCATAACATTTTTAGAAATGTTATTGATTTAAGGTCTAGCTTCAATTTCTTGCTTGTTCTGGAACGAATACTTAAGCTATGAGCCTTTGTCATAACATGATGCACAAAATGAATCACTTTAGTCAATACTTTAATTAAATTTTATGGGGAGGTAAAATAGTTGCAGAAGTAAGGTTGCATATTATATAGAATCGTATTATAACATTGTGTTTAAAACTAACTAATAAATGACTAGCACAACACAATTTTGATTTAAAATACTTATTAATCTTATAAAAAGTGTTAGTATTAAGTAATGTGTCAGTTAGCTGAAAAGTTATTAGGTCAGGACATACACGATATAATCCCGGTCTTAGAAATGTTATTGATTTAAGGTCTAGCTTCAATTTCTTGCTTGTTCTGGAACGAATACTTAAGCTATGAGCCTTTGTCATAACATGATGCACAAAATGAATCACTTTAGTCAATACTTTAATTAAATTTTATGGGGAGGTAAAATAGTTGCAGAAGTAAGGTTGCATATTATATAGAATCGTATTATAACATTGTGTTTAAAACTAACTAATAAATGACTAGCACAACACAATTTTGATTTAAAATACTTATTAATCTTATAAAAAGTGTTAGTATTAAGTAATGTGTCAGTTAGCTGAAAAGTTATTAGGTCAGGACATACACGATATAAGAAAGAAATAAATATTATGTTTTAAGAAATAAACGTCTGAAATTATAATGTCACTAAAATAGTTTTATTTGTTATCCTTTATGAGAATTAAACTTAGTAAGTATTAGTCTTAATCTGTAAGAAAAATATGTTACTTTTACATTAATAGTTAGCACATATTATAAAAGTTATTTATATATATTTATTAATATAATTTTATTCTAAAATAATATATTTATTTATTTTTGTTATCTTTTATAAATATTAAACGTCAAATATTTTATTTATATATTATTATTATTGATTTTATATAAAAAATATAAAAAAACCATTGTTAAAAAACCTGAATTTATAATGATAACCCGGAATTGAACCGGTGCCCTTCGACTTCATTATACTATCATTCTTATTTATCCGAGCTACCGATCGCATTTTTAATGATATCGAAAATGCGGGTTAGTTTATAACTTTTATTATTGTCTATTATTAATTATTGACGCCATCTTTTAATTGGTTTGCTTGACTTGACTTAGATGGCGCTATATTAAGTCCTCGGAAATGTGAAAATTAACATAATTTATGTGTATTTGAATATAAATATATTATTGTTTCTTAATTATTATTTAAACCATTAAAAACCTTATTGTGTGCCTCTGCAGTGTAAAGTATTCAAGCTTTGCAGGGTTATTTTCATTTAAAAGCAGCGCCATCTAGTTATCAATGGTAGCGTTATGCAAAACCTGTCAGTCAATAGTCGACTTTAAGCTCTCCATGCATTTTTGTCACCCTTAGTACATGCAGGTCAATCTATGAGTCCCCACTGCTGACCAAATACCTTGGACGGAAATCATCTAACTACTATAGAAAATTAATCTCTAAGCAAGATTTTTTTATTAAAATTGATTACAATTACATTACAATTGTCATAAAACTACTTAATTTGGTATGTAGGTATTTAAATTTCGCTGCTGTTAACAGGTTAGTGAATGATAGGAGTTTTTAATGTAAGTGTAAAAATGAGGCGTTTTTTTTTTGTAAAAAGAGCAAAACGCTTATTAGATTTTTTTGTTTCAATAGACAACATTTTAGTTATGTACATTATTATAAAGACTTCATATCTCAAGTGAAAATCAATCATTAAATTAAAGAAACGACAGTAAATTAATAAAAATAATTTTATTTTATATTTTTTACATTTTTGCTGCTTTTGCGGGTCAACTCTGGACAGTTAACATCGTTGTTTCAACTGGCTAGCTGATGAGGCACGACTTGTTCTCCAGAACCTGCAATTCAATGATTCAACTTTAATCGAGTTGCATCTTCTTCGTCGACCTCCAGCAATTATAATTGAAGTCAAAGTTAAAATCAATACCAACTAAACCTTAAATGGATACTTATCAGACGCTAAGAATATGTAATCACTACGTTTATTAAGTTTAGTACTTCTAATAAGTTTAATGATGTTATGTTACTTTACTCTTTGGTTACATCCTTGTACTTATGGTCCACAGAGCCACAGACATCGATCACTAATAAAGAACTAGATACACAATCCCATACAAAAGTTCGCTTCAAAACTGTCGTCAACTGTATTTAGGTACTTATACTTGAAATAAACATGCATTAATGTAAATTAAACCTTAAATGCAACTCATAGAGTAGTTTTCACAAAGTGATATACAAAATCTAAACATTTTTTGCATAAATCATAAGAAATTGAACCATATTCGCATGTTTTTAAGTCGAATTTACAATGTGTCAAAAATGAGCAATAAAATTTAACGACTTCGGTTTTTGAATACGATTTCATTTGGAAAAAGTTTTAAAGTTAATTTCTTAATAAAATATCAATATTTAAAATAGAATGATGACAATTATATAATGATAATATTATTATTTAACGAAAATATGAAATTCCATCCTTTTTTGCGTATTAGATGTGTGTTTTTTGCAGTTTTTAAACGAGCACTGAGGCGTGTTTACCGTCGGAGCATTCGAGTGGTACTAAACTAAAACTACACCGCGATGTTGAGTTTGGTGGACTTTCAGTTAGGATATTTTTTTGTCACTGATTGTGTATCTAGTTCTTTATTAGTGATCGATGGCCACAGATAATAAAAAGTTACAAGCGACCTCGCGCATAATGTCATACTCTGTCGACCATAGATAGACAAAAGTTTACCTACTATTTACTCTTTATTTTTTGTGCTTTTTGTTTATAATTTTATTTTAGTTAACAGTTACATTATTTTATCATTTAGTTTATATAAATGGTATAGTTTTTCTTTTTCCTTTTTTTTTGGTATTTTTGATTTTTATGTGTGTGCGCTTGCGCAGAAATAAATGTTTCTTTCTTTCTTTCAAAAAATTGAATAGTAGTCTGTCAGTCTGTTCGTCAGTGAAGCTCGTTTCAAATTGTGAAATTGAATGGAGAAGAACGAAAAAGAAACTCCATCGTTACTCTTATCTAAAAATGATATTTGTTTTACAATATCACGAATACATTATTGAGTATTTGTTATTGTAAAAACAATGCAGAGACAAATTGTAAAAAAAGAAAAAATTATGGGATCTATCATTAAATTTCAATTCCTTTATCGTCTCAAACATGGCGCTCATATCTGCCACTGACAATCGAAAAGAATCCTTCTACCTATATAAACTCTATGTTTAAATAATAAAATAAGAATATTTGATCCTATAACTAAGGCTTCATTAGTTTTGAGATTTTTTGTAACTACTGACTATATTTGAGTATTGTCCAATATAGCCGAACCAACATGCTGCCAGGCTTTCTTATCCAAAATATAATCTGGCAGTTTGTAGTATTTTTGTCTACGCAATTCGCGTTTAATATAATTGTTAAATTTTCTTTCATTAAAATTTAGTACACTACTTAAAATTTTATTGTAACAATTTACACATACCCCCAAAAAAAAAATCTGTATTTTGGACAGACTAAATCATGGCACAGCCAGCCTATCTTTGCCTCTAGTATTCAAATTATGATTGATTAATAATAATTATTGATAAGCTGAAATTGATAAAAAATACTTCTAAACCAATGCTTTAAATACTGTCAAACGCGAATAAAATTAACCACTTATTTTCCTCTTAAATATATACATTTGGAAATAACTCACTGAAAATCCATCCAAATATTGCGGTGGTGGTATTGACAACAGTGGTGGTAACGGTAGTATTAATGATGGCAGCTACAGCGATGGCAGGGATCAACATCGATGCAAGTATAAAGCTGCAATTGGCCTCTTTTCTGGACTGAAAAATAAAGAGGGTACATAAATACTATTTTATATATTATGTATCAACAGCTCCGTGTATCTCCTTTGGTTGAAAATTGATCTTTTAAGAGTTTAACATTAATGGTTCGACTCGATAGAAAAACCAGCGAGAAACAATGCAACTACAGCGTTGTATCGCCGTGTGTCCGAGGTTACTAGTGGCTCAATTATTCTCTTAATGTGTGCCTAGTTCTAATCTCTAAATCTTCGAAATCCTAATCCCCGAAAGGCGGGCCACGCACTAACTCATCTGATATTGCGAATGTCCATGGGCAGACTGCTTATTAATGCGCCCGCTAATTTGCAGACGTAATAAATAAAAAAAAAATCATACATTGCACTCATCCAACTCCGCCTTCTCCTCCTCTTTGCTGCCACTCACTGACTCCTTGTAACTGTAACATGACAGACAGACAAACACCACATATAAATACATTCTTAAATATCAAATAAATACATATACTTAATGCAAGATATTGTTAGATACTTACTTTGGGCTCCAAATTAGAATTTACCTTCTTCAATTGTTCAATACTTTGTTTTCCTTTTTTTTTGCTATTTTGTGACAGGGAGAGCCATAAACTGAGCATTCCTGCAAAAAAAATGTTAGACCTGTACATAAGAATAACCTAGTTCACATCATCTTTACTACTGAAATAACAATACAGTCTCAAACGCGTATGCATATGTAAAAATATGTTTTTGTAAACGCACCCACAGCACAATTGCAAATCCTAGTACGTGTGTAACGTTACAATAACTTTGCAAAGAGAAAATTGTACATTTCACAAACTGCAGTGCATCATCTGCGAAAGGGCGGACACGTGTAGTCTGTTTTTTTTTGTCAATACCACATCATTTCGTGTGACATGGTATTGCCAGACAGTAAACTTCCTTGTAGTGAATAAACGCCCATAGATGATAGGAGTATAACAAATTAGATCAGATTGCAGACAAATAACCGTTATCTTAACCAACCTTTGTCTTCTACTCAACCCTCATATTAGTACTTACCTGCTATATTTCCCTTGGTTTTCACAACTCATAGAACAAATCCATCGTCTGACCAGTATTAGTGTAATCTGCCTTCAACAAGACCTAAAAATAATTATTAATCAATATCGAACTCAACTAGTATCTTTAGTATTGTAGACTGTAGTACTAAATATGACAGTGTTGTTGAGGAAAATTAATAAAATGTGTCAGTTTTGCGGGTAAGTGAATATTTTTACATTAAAATGTATCTAGAAGACGTTACCCCACAGTGTTGCTCGCAGATAAAATTGAAATGGGAAGGTATATCTTATGTACTTCTAAAAGAGCACCAACCTTCCCATTATTTGCTTCAATTTTTATCGAGTTTCGTCTTCTTCATTGACCTCCTACAATTATTGATGGGCTGAAATTAACAGAAAACAACGTCTTAACTATTGGTTCGTTAAAAACACCTGAAACATTAAATATATTGTCAAACACCAATAATAATTTTATTAGTGATTGACAATATTTTGTACAATGTTTTTTTCTCAAATGGAAATAACTCACAGGAAATCCAATCTTGCGGCGGCGGTATTGACAAGAGTGGTGGTAACGGTAGTATCAATGATAGCAGCTACGCAGAAGGAATCAGCATCGATGCAAATAAAAAGCTGCGATTGGCCTTTTATCTTGGACTGAAATAGAAAGAGAGGGTACACATAAACACTATTTTATATATTATGAATCTTATTATGTATCAACCAAATACCATCAGAAATGAACAGCTCCGTGTATCTCCTTTAAAAATGTATAATTTGACTGTCATATATCAAATCGCAGGAAAAATTGATAAAGTGAGTGTATCTTTTAAGTGTGGCAGAGCCAAGCTTAAATGGATGGGCTTGATAGAAAACCGGCGAGTAACGACGGAACTACAACGTTGTGTTTCGCCGTGTGGATGAGATATCGGAGGCCCAATCCTCCTCTAAAATCTCTAAATCTCCCAAAACCTTATCCCCAAGATGACAGGCCGAGCACTTGTAACTCCTCTATCAATATATCATCTCGTCAATGGGCAGATTGCTAACCATCAAATAGTCTGAAGATGTATCAAATTAGAAAAAAAACCTTACATTGCGCTCATTCAACACCGTCTCCTCCACCTTTTCACTACCACTCACTAACTCCATGTAACTGTAACAAGACAGACAATTCTAGTTTGTTGAAAGCAGACATTTAAATAATTTCTATGAAGAACATGAAATCAAAATCCATGAATTTAAAATTACTGTGAATTTGGCTTCAATATGCTTTTTGTTTTGAAAGTTTTTTTTATAATTATCTTTTTTACAAATACTCACACCATATTTGGTAAATGAACAGATTCCATACTTAAAGATTTCTTTCATGTTTATTTTAAAAACCTACCGTCAGACGTATAAAGTTATACAAATAAGGTTATTATAGTTTGATAAGGCTAAAGGTTTCCCTGCTTAAACTTATCTGTATTTATGAAAAAACAAACAAGTGGTTTTAAGCGAACAGTCTTTAAAAAAACAAAGTAAGGAGGTCATTTATGCTTATTTTTATTATTCTGTTTTTGTATACCCTCTGTAAGTCCTTCATGTGACAAATAAACCAAATATCAAATAAATACATATACTTAATGCAAGATATTGTTAGATACTTACTTTGAGCTCCAAATTAGAATTTACCTTCTTCAGTAGTTCAATACTTTGTTTTTCAATTTTGAGACAGGAAGAGCCATAAACTGAACATTCCTGCAAAAAATGTAAGGATATTTTTATTATTCTGCTTTTGTATACCCTCTGTAAGTCATTCGTGTGACAAATAAATCAAATATCAAATAAATACAATGTAATGTGTTGGTGGTTCAGATGTAAACGATCGGCAAACGAGCAGACGGATTACCTGATGGTAAGCAATCAGCGCCGCCCATGGACACTCGCAACGGAGTAGTTACGAGTGCGTTGCCGACCTTTTAGGGATTAGGGATTTGGAGATTTAGGGATTGAGGGGGGATTGGGGGAGGGGAAGGATTGGGCCTCCGGTAACCTCACTCACACGGCGAAATACAACGCTGTAGTTATTTCACGCCGGTTTTCTGTGAGGCCAAGGTATCACTCCAGTCGAGCCGACCCATTCGTGCCGAAGCATGGCTCTCCCACACTTATTACTAAAGGAAATACATAATGTCAGATTACATTATGTTATAACATATACTTAATGCAAGATATTGTTAGATACTTACTTTGAGCTCCAAATTAGAATTTACCTTCTTCAATTGTTCAATACTTTGTTTTCCTTTTTTTTAAAATTTTGTGACAGGAATAGCTATAAACTAAGCATTCCTGTAAAAAAAAATTAAAATTTGTATAATATATTGAATAACCTAGTTCACATCATCTTCTTTACTACTAAAATAATAATACAGTTTTAAACGTGTCTGGGTATGAAAAAATATGTTTTTGTAAACGCACACACGACACACTTGAAGGTCCTAGTATGTGCGTAACGTTACAAAGAGAAAATTGTACATTTCACAAACTGAAGTGCATTATCTGCGAATGGGCGGTGGTGGTATTGCCAGACAGTAAACTTTCTTGTAGTGACCAAACGCCCTTAGATGATAGGAGTATAACGAATTAGATCAGATTGCAGACAAATAACCATTATCTTAACCAACCTTTGTCTTCTACTCAACCCTCATATTTGTACTTACCTGCTATATTTCGCTTGGTTTTCACAACTCATTGTACAAATCCATCGTCTGACCAGTATTAGTGTAATCTGCCTTCGCGAGACCTAAAAATAATTATTAATTATAATTAAAGTCAACTAGTCTCTTTAGTATTGTAGATTGCAGTACAAAAATATGACGGTGTTGTTGAGGAAAATTCAAAAAAATGTGTCGGTATTGCGGGTAAGTGAATATTTTTACATTATAATGTACAAGTCGTTACTCACAGTGTTGCTCGCAGATAAAAATGAAATGGAAAGGTATATCTACTAGACTTTTAAAAAAGCACCAACCTTTTTTTTTCAATAAACAACATTTTACTTACTTTATTTTATATGTACAGACTTTGTATATTAAGTCACATGTTTAGTTTACGTTCTTATTATAAAATTCTAAATAAAATTTTATTTTAACCGTCAATAAATTAAAGAAGCGGCATTAAATATTTTTTTTACATTTTTGCTGTTTTTACGGACCTACTTTAGACAGTTAACATTGCTGTCTTAAAAATATTCACTATCGTTGTTTCACTATCGTACACAAAAAAAATTGCGTTAGAAGCGTAAAGTTGAAAGATATGGCTATTAACATGAAAAGAATATTTTTCTAACATTTATTTTGGGTGACGGTAGATTTATATAAGTAGTCTTCGATTACTATACGATTGTTAGATTTGAAACTGGAATGAAAAAGTCTTTTAAGGCCTAATGTATTGTTTAAGAAAGTAGAGGAGATTGTCGACTGTCATGTGGTTTTCACTTCATACCACTTACACAAATTAGGTCCCAATCCACTATGCAGAAGATGTTTTAGTGCACAAGTGTGTGCGCTAACACCTTTTGCTCTTTGTTCTTTCATTATCTTAATCCAATGGAATTGCTGACCGACTCAACTAGATACAAGTCAGGCAGAAGAAGCAAGGGTTTTACGTGTCCCCAGGCACGGGATCAAAACACAGCTACACTTCCACTCCAGTCTAATTATATAGCACAATGAGTTCCCTGAGGCACCGCGGCCTCGGCTTAGAGCAGAAGAAGGAGCAGGGGTTTTTAGTCAGTAAGAGTCTGACACTTTCTCTCGCCTTACCCTGAGCGCGAGAAGTCTTTAATAATTTTCCCCTTATTAAAACCGACCGACGCTGGAATCCTGGCCCAGCAGTGCTCTCAGCACCGGATTATAATATTGATACATACATGCAGGTCAATCTATGAGTGCCCACTGCTGAGCGGACACCTTGGACGGAAATCATCTAACTACTATAGAAAATGAATCTAAGCAAGATTTTTTTTTATTAGAATTAACATTACAATTGTCATAAAACTACTTAATTTGGTATCTAGGTATTTAAATTTCGCTGCTGTTAACAGGTTAGTGAATGATAGTAGTTTTTACTGTAAGTGTAAAAATGAGGCGTTTATGTTGGTAAAAAGAGCAAAAAGCATACTAGATTTTTTGTTTCAATAGACAACATTTTAGTTATTTACATTATTATAAAGACTTCATATCTCAAGTTATAAAACATTATTCAATATAGGTTATTTTAACAATCAATAAATTAAAGAAGCGACAGTAAATTAATAAAAATAATTTTATTTTATATTTTTTTACATTTTTGCGGCTTTTGCGGGTCAACTCTGGACAGTTAACATCGTTGTTTCAACTGGCCAGCTGATGACTTGTTGACAGCACGACTTGTTCTCCAGAACCTGCAATTCAATGATTCAACTTTAGTCGAGTTGCATCTTCTTCGTCGACCTCCTGCAATTATAATTGAAGTCAAAGTTAAAATCCTTTATTCCAACTAAACCATAAATAGATACTTATGAAACGCCAAAAAATTTAAGAGTAGTCTGTCAGACGAAAAAGAAACTCCATCGTTACTCTTATCTAAAAATGATTTTTGTTTTACAATATCACGAATACATTATTTAGTAATTGTAAAAACAAAGCAGAGACAAGTTGTAAAAAGAAAGAAAAAATTATAGGATCTATCATTAAATTTCAAATCCTTTATCGTCTCGAACATCGCGCTCATATCCGCATACTGACAATCGAAATGAATGCTTCTTTATAAACTCTATGTTTAAATAATAAAATAAAAATATCTATAACTAAGGATTCATTAGTTTTGAGATTTTTTGTGAATACTGATATTGGTTCGGCTCTACTGGAAAATATTTGAGTAATTTCCAGTAGAGCCGAACAAACATGCTGCCAGGCTTTCTTATCCTAAATGTAATCTGACAGTTTGTAGTATATTTGTCTACGCAATTCGCGTTCAACATAATTTTAAAATTTTCTTTCACTTAAATTTAGTACACTACTTAAAATTTTATTGTAACAATTTAAACATACCCTCCAAAAAAAATTCTGTGTTTTGGACAGACTAAATCATGGCACAGTCAGCCTAAATTTGCATCTAGTATTAAAATTATGATGGATTAATAATAATTATTGATAGGCTGAAATTGACAGAAAATACTTCTAAGCCATTGCTTTAAATACTGTCAAACGCGAATAAAATTAACCACTTACTTTTGTCTTAAATAAATACATTTGGAAATAACTCACTGAAAATCCATCCAAATATTGCAGTCGTGGTATTAACAACAGTGGTGGTAACGGTAGTATCAATGATGGGTAGAGCGCTGGCAGGGATCAACATAAATGCAAGTATAAAGCTCCAATTAGCCTCTTTTCTGGACTGAAAAATAAAGAGAGGGTACATAAATACTATTTTATATATTATGTATCAACAGCTCCGTCTTCTCTCCTTTGGTTGAAAATGAATCTTTTAAGAGTTTAACATTAATGGTTTGACTCGATAGAAAAACCAGCTAGAAACAATGGAACTACAGCGTTGTATCGCCGTGTGTCCGAGGTTACTAGTGGCTCAATTATTCTCTTAATGTGTGCCTAGTTCTAATCTCTAAATCTTCGAAATCCTAATCCCCGAAAGGCGGACCACACACTAACTCATCTGGTATTGCGAATATCCATGGGCAGATTGCTTACCATCAGGTAATCCGCCCGCTAATTTGCAGACGTAATAAATTAAAAAAAAAATCATACATTGCGCTCATTCAACACCGTCTCCTCCTCCTCTTCACTGCCACTTACGAACTCCATATTATAACTGTAACAAAACAGACAGACAAACACCACATATAAATACATTTTTAAATATCAAATAAATACATATACTTAATGCAAGATATTGTTAGATACTTACTTTAAGCTCCAAATTAGAATTTACCTTCTTCAATTGTTCAATACTTTGTTATCCTTCTTTTTTGTATGTTGTGACAGGCAGAGCAATAAACTGAGCATTCCTGCAAAACAAAATAGGCCTGTACATAAGAATAACCTAGCTCACATCATCTTTACTACTGAAATAACAATACAGTCTCAAACGCGTATGCATATGTACAAATATGTTTTTGTAAACGCGCCCACAACACAATTGCAAATCCTAGTACTTGTGTAACGTTACAATAACTTTACAAAGATACTTACTTTGGGCTCCAAATTAGAATTTACCTTCTTCAATTGTTCAATACTTTGTTTTCCTTCTTTTTTTCAATTTTGAGACAGGGAGAGCCATAAACTGAGTATTCCTGTAAAAAAATGTAAGATTTGTATAATATATTGAATAACCTAGTTCACATCATCTTCTTTACTACTAAAATAATAATACAGTTTCAAACGTGTCTGGGTATGTAAAAATATGTTTCTTTAAACGCACACACGACACAGTTGAAGATCCTAGTACGTTCGTTACGTTACAAAGAGAAAATTGTGCATTACACAAACTGCAGTGCATCATCTGCGAAAGGGCGGACACGTGTAGGTAATCAGTGCACAAACCAAATTTCTGTCGTTTTTGTCAATACCACATCATACCGTGTGAAATGGTATTGCCTGACAGTAAACTTCCTTGTAGTGAACAAACTCCCATAGATGATAGGAGTATAACAAATTAGATCAGATTGCAGACAAATAACTATTATCTTAACCAACCTTTGTCTCCTACTCAACCGTCAAATTTGTACTTACCTGCTATAACTCGCTTGGTTCTCACAACTCATAGTACAAATCCATCGTCTGACCAGTTTAGTGCAATCTGCCTTCGACAAGACCTAAAAATAATTATTAATCAATATTTAATCAATATTAAGTCAACTAGTCTCTTTAGTATTGTAGACTGCAGTACTAAATATGACGGTGTAGTTGAGGAAAATAAAATATGTGTCAGTTTTGCGGGTAAGTGAATATTTTTACATTATAATGTACAAGACGTTACTCACAGTGTTGCTTTTTTTTATGTGATTTGACGGCAAACGACCAGACGGATTACCTGATGGTAAGCAATCAGCGTCGCCCATGGACACCCACTATAAAGAAGGAGTGCGTTGCCGACCTTTTAGGGATTGGGATTTTGGGGATTTAGGGATTGGGAAGGGATTGGGCCTCCGGTAACCTCACTCACACGGCGAAACACAACGTTGTGGTTGTTTCACGCCGGTTTTCTGTGAGGCCGTGGTATAACTCCGGTCGAGCCGACCCATTCGTGCCGAAGCATGGCTCTCCCAAACTTTATATATACCTATATATAGTATATCTACTACACTCCTAAAAGAGCACCAACCTTACTATAGTTTTTTTTTCAATAAACAATATTTTACTAACATTATGGACTTTGTAGGTATATTAAGTAAAATTTTTAGTTTATGTTCTTATTATTAAATTCAAAATAAAATTTTATTTTAATAGGTACTCGTGTTTTTTGCAAGCTTCTTGTCGGTTATTCGTGATTTAAGGATAGGAGAATTGAGGATTGAGAATAAGGGGAGGGAGGAAGGAATGGGTCTCCAGTAACTTCGCATATACGACAAAACAGTCAATAAATTAAAGAAGCGACATTAAATTAAGCAATTTTATTTAATATCTTTTACATTTTTGCTGTTTTCACGGACCTACTCTAGACAGTTAACATTGACATCGTAAAAATATTCACTATGGTTGTTTCCACCGGCCAGCTGATGAGACACGACCCCTTTTTCAAGGAATCTTCAATTATCCAATTATTTGCTTCAATTTTTGTCGAGTTTCATCTTCTTCATTGACCTCCTACAATTATTGATGGGCTGAAATTAACAGAAAACAACGTCTAAACTATTACTTCGTTAACAACATCTGAAATTTTGTAAAATGTTTTTTTTTTCAAATGGAAATAACTCACAGGAAATCCAATCTTGCGGCGGCGGTGTTGACAAGAGTGGTGGTAACGGTAGTATCAATGATGGCAGCTACGTCACAAGAAGGAATCAGCATCGATGCAAGTAAAAAGCTGCGATTGGCCTTTTATCTTGGACTGAAATAGAAAGAGAGGGTACACATAAATACTATTTTATATATTATAAATCTTATTATGTATCAACCTAATACCATCAGAAATGAACAGCTCCATGTATATCCTTTAAAAATGTATAATTTGATTATCATATATCAAATCGCAGGCAAAATTTATAAAGTGAGTGTATCTTTTAAGTGTGGCAGAGCCAAGCATAAAAGATATAGCCAAGCTTGATAACCAGCGAGAAACAACGGAACTACAACGTTGTATTTCACCGTGTGGATGAGATATAGGAGGCCCAATCCCCCCCTAAAATCTCTAAATCTCTCAAAACCTTATCACGAAAAGACAGGCCGAGCACTTGTAACTCCTCTGATGGAAACCCGTCAATGGGCGGATTGCTTACCATCAGATAATCCGTCAGATAGTCTGAAGATGTATCAAAAAAAAACCTTTCATTGCACTCATCAAACACCGTCTCCTCCTCGTTTCACTGCCACTCACGAACTCCATGTAACTGTAACAAGACAGACAGACAAACAACACATATTAATACATTCAATTTTAAATTCCAGTTTGTTGAAAGCAGAAATTTAAATAATTTTTATCAAGAACATGAAATCAAAATCCATGAATTTAAAATTACTGTGAATTGGCTTCAAGATGCTTTTCGTTTTGAAAGTTTTCATCGCAACTTTTAGATTTGCAGTAATTTTAGTTTTTTTATTATTATCTTTTTTACAAATACACCATATTAGATAAATGAACAGATTCCATATTTAAAGATCTCTTTCATTTTTATTTTAAAAACCTACCGTCAGATGTATAAAGTTATACAAATAAGGTTATTATAGTTTGATAAGGCTAAAGGTTTCCCTGCTTAAACTTATCTGTATTTGACTACTTTTTACTACTATTACTTATCTGTAAACAAGTGGTTTTAAGCGAACAGTCTTTAAAAAACAAAGTAAGAAGGTCATTTATGCTTATTTTTATTATTCTGTTTTTGTATACCCTCTGTACGGCCTTCATGTAACAAATAAATCAAAAATCAAATAAATACATATACTTAATGCAAGATATTGTTAGATACTTACTTTGAGCTCCAAATTAGAATTTACCTTCTTCAATTGTTCAATACTTTGTTTTCCTTCTTTTTTTTTTCAATTTTGTGACAGGGAGAGCCATAAACTGAGCATTCCTGCAAAAAAAATGTTAGACCTGTACATAAGAATAACCTAGTTCACATCATCTTTACTACTGTAATAAAAATACAGTCTCAAACGCGTATGCATATGTAAAAATATGTTTTTGTAAACGCACTTACAACACAATTGCAAATCCTAGTACGTGTGAAACGTTACAATAACTTTACAAAGAAAAAATTGTACATTTCACAAACTGCAGTGCATCATCAGCATCAGGGGCGGACACGTGTAGGTAATACAGTGCACAAGCCAAATTTTCTTGTCTTTTTTGTCAATACCACATCATACCGTGTGAAATGGTATTGCCGGACAGTAAACTTCCTTGAAATGAACAAACTCCCATAGATGATAAAAGTATAACAAATGAGACCAGATTGCAGACAAATAACCATTATCTTAACCAACCGGCAACCTTTGTCTCCTACTCAACCCTCATATTTGTACTAACCTGCTATATTTCGCTTGGTTCTCACAACTCATAGTACAAATGCATCGAGCAGTATTTGTGTAATCTGCCTTCGATAAGACCTAAAAATAATTATTGATCATTAATTAATATTGAAGTCAACTAGTCTCTTTAGTATTGTAGACTGCAGTACTAAATATGACGGTGTTGTTGAGGAGAATTAAAAGAATGTGTCAGTTGTGCGGGTATGTGAATATTTTTACATTATAATGTACAAGACGTTACTCACAGTGTTGCTCGCAGATAAAAATGAAATGGAAAGGTGTATCTACTATAGGTACTACTAAAAAAAACACCAACCTTACTAGTTTTTTTTTCAATAAACAACATTTTACTTACATTATTTTATGTTACAGACTTTGTAGGTATATTAAGTAAAATTTTTAGTTTATGTTCTTATTATTAAATTGAAAATAAAGTTTTATTTTATAAGGTACTACAAGTTTTTTGCAGGCTTCTTGTCGGTTATTCGTGATTTAAGGATATAGTTGAGGATTGAGAAGAAGGGGAGGGGGGGGGGGGGGAGAAAGAAATGGGTCTCCGGTAACTTCGTATATACGACAAAACGGTCAATAAATTAAAGAAGCGACATTAAATTAAGCAATTTCATTTTATTTTTTTACATTTTTGCTGTGTTCACGGACCTACTCTAGACAGTTAACATCGCTATCGTAAAAGTATTCACTATCGTTGTTTCCACCGGCCAGCTGATGAGGCACGACGCCTTTTTCAAGGAATCTTCAACTAACCAATTATTTGCTTCAATTTTTATCGAGTTTTATCTTCTACATTAACCTCCTACAATTATTGATGGGCTGAAATTAACAGAAAACAACGTCTAAACTATTGCTTCGTTAACAACATCTGAAACATTTAAAATATTGTCAAACACCATAATAATTTTATTAGTGTTTGACAATATTTTGTACAATGATTTTTGCTCAAATGGAACTCACAGGAAATCTAATCTTGCGGCGGCGGTATTGACAAGAGTGGTGGTAACGGTAGTATCAATGATGGCAGCTACGTCGCAAGAAGGAATCAGCATCGATGCAAGTAAAAAGCTGCGATTGGCCTTTTATCTTGGACTGAAATAGAAAGGGAGGGTATACATAAATACTATTTTATATATTATGAATCTTATTATGTATCAACCAAATACCATCAGAAATGAACAGCTCAGTGTATCTCCTTTAGAAATGTATGATTTAATTATCATATATCAAATCGCAGGAAAAATTGATAAAGCGAGTGTATCTTTTAAGTGTGGCAGAGCCAAGCTTAAATGGATGGGCTTGATAGAAAACCGGCGAGTAACGACGGAACTACAACGTTGTGTTTCGCCGTGTGGATGAGATATCGGAGGCCCAATCCTCAATTTAAATCTCTAAATCTCCTAAAACCTAATCCCCAAAAGACAGGCCGAGCAACGCCTCTGATGGAAACCCGTCAATGGGCGGATTGCTTACCATCAGATAATCCGTCAGATAGTCTGAAGATGTATCAAATTATAAAAAAAAACCTTACATTGCGCTCATTCAACACCGTCTCCTCCACCTTTTCACTACCACTCACTAACTCCATGTAACTGTAACAAGACAGACAATTCTAGTTTGTTGAAAGCAGACATTTAAATAATTTCTATGAAGAACATGAAATCAAAATCCATGAATTTAAAATTACTGTGAATTTGGCTTCAATATGCTTTTTGTTTTGAAAGTTTTTTTTATTATTATCTTTTTTACAAATACTCACACCATATTTGGTAAATGAACAGATTCCATACTTAAAGATTTCTTTCATTTTATTTTAAAACCCTACCGTCAGACGTATAAAGTTATACAAATAAGGTTATTATAGTTTGATAAGGCTAAAGGTTTCCCTGCTTAAACTTATCTGTATTTATGTAAAAACAAACAAGTGGTTTTAATGCAACAGTCATTAAAAAAACAGAATAATTTATTATTCTGTTTTTGTATACCCTCTTTAAGTCCTTCATGTGACAAATAAATCAAATATCAAATAAATACATATACTTAATGCAAGATATTGTTAGATACTTACTTTGTGCTCCAAATTAGAATTTACCTTCTTCAATTGTTCAATACTTTGTTTTCCTTCTTTATTTTCAATTTTGTGACAGGGAGAGCCATATACTGAGCATTCCTGCAAAAAAAAAATACAGAATAATATATTTTTATTATTCTGTTTTTGTATACCCTCTTAGAGGCCTTCATTTGACAAATATATCAACTATCAAATAAAAACATTGTAATGTGTTGGTGGTTCAGTTGTTTGAAATCAAACAGGTCTTACTAATACCCCAAAAACTTATTAATACAAAACCCATAATAAATCAATATTGCGTAGCACTTTATTATAGGTTGCAAGCGATGCAAAATTCGTACACGTGAGTTTTAACTTATTACTAAAGGAAATACATAATATCAGATTCCATTATGTTACAACATATACTTAATGCAAGATATTGTTAGATACTTACTTTGAGCTCCAAATTAGAATTTACCTTCTTCAATTGTTCAATACTTTGTTTTCCTTTTTTTTTCAATTTTGTGACAGGGAGAGCCATAAACTGAGCATTCCTGCAAAAAAAATGTAACATTTGTATAATATATTAAATAACCTAGTTCACATCATCTTCTTTACTACTAAAATAATAATACAGTTTCAAACGTGTCTGGGTATGTAAAAAAATGTTTCTTAAAACGCACACACGACACAGTTCTTAGTACGTTCGTAACGTTACAAAGAGAAAATTGTACATTTCACAAACTGCAGTGCATCATCTGCGGACACGTGTAATACAGTGCACAAGCCATATTTCTGTCCTTTGTGTCAATATAACACATCATACCGTGTGAAATGGTATTGCCAGACAGTAAACTTCCTTGTAATGAACTAACTCCCATAGATGATAGGAGTATAACAAATTAGATCAGATTGCAGACAAATAACCATTATCTTAACCAACCTTTGTCTCCTACTCAACCGTCAAATTTGTACTTACCTGCTATATTTCGCTTGGTTCTCACAACTCATAGTACAAATCCACCGTCTGACCAGTATTAGTGTAATGTGCCTTCGACAAGACCTAAAAATAATTATTAATCATTTATTAATATAGAAGTTAACTAGTCTCTTTAGTATTGTAGACTGCAGTACTAAATATGACGGTGTTGTTGAGGAGAATTAAAAAAATGTGCCAGTTTTGCGGGTAAGTGAATATATATATAATTTTTACATTATAATGTTCAAAATATTACGCACAGTGTTGCTCGCAGATAAAAATGAAATGGAAAGGTATATACTACCTACTATAGTTCTACATAGCTGAATTGTATAATTATTTTTCGAAGGTCACATCTTAGATTTTAAACTTTAAGTCCTACTTTCTAACAGGGTTTTTACTTTAAAAAACGCTAAAGGCCCAATGTTGCACAAATACATACAAAGTAAAAAAATAATAATTCAACAATGAAACAGCTAAATTGTATATTACTTGTTCAATGTACTGCACACTTTTTGAAACGGTCGGTGGATGGACAATGTTTTATTCGTTTTATTTCGGGTCTCGATCTGGGTGTGCATACAAACCATATACAAACTTATAAGTTTAAACCACGACACAGGAACAGGAACTAGTGGTCGCGGTTACCTATGGGCGATACCGATTGTTTATCATAAGGTGATTTTACTTCTCATTTGCAGTCAGTCCTATGAACCAAATCTGAACGAACATGCGGTGGAAAAAAATCGTTACAATAAGCCGGTCTCAATAAGTGACATGTGTGAGCGAGATGGAACTAAAAGTAGGTTGCGCGGTCGCATATAAATATGTGACAATGTTCATAGCCGGCCATTATTATCATGTCAGCGCGAGAAAACCCGAGCCTGCATTAATCGTCAATCTTCTCCTTTTTGGCTTAGTACATGGAAGTGAAGCCCTAGTTTCAGAAAATTAAAATGTTCAACAAAAACACTTACAAGAACCAAAAAGTCAGCAAGTTAACAATGGAATATTTTCAAGTATTACTTACCCTGATGAACCAGGACCACGGGTTGGTACAGTTTGAACTGGTAGATGGATATCAAGTGGGATGAAACGGAAATTTCCTTGATCATCATCAGTATGGATATTACGAACATACATTACTAGGCAAAGATGAAATCGCCTACCCGCAACGAAAAATAATAATGAAAAGTCCAAAAATCAAGCTTTTAACCAATCTTTGGCATCGTAGCTAGCAATAATAATGTGAAAAATCATGCAAAATTAGCTGGGTGATCGGAAACCATCACAGTTCTATTATATTTGCCTCAAACTTACTGCAAACTACCAGTCTACCCGCAGTTATCTCAACATTTGTGACTTCACTATCTAGAATGGGTGTGGCCGAGCCACGATGATTGAGAATACGCTGTGTACATCAAAATTACAAAAAAACAAAGTAAGTGAATAATTTTTTTTTCCTTTATGTGGTAAGTCGGCAAACGAGCAGACGGATTACTTGATGGTAAGCAATTAATTGACACCAGCAATAACAGAGTAGGAACGAGTGCGTTGCACATTAGGGATTTAGAGATTAAGGGATTGGGGAGTGATTGGGGAGCAGAAGAATTGGGACTCCGGTAACCTTACTCAACGGCGAAACACAACGCTGTGGTTGTTTCACGCCGGTTTTCTGTGAGGCCGTGCTATCACTCCGGTCGAGCCGACCCATTCGTGCATGGCTCCCCACAGTTTCAAAATTATTATTTTAAATTTAAATAAAGACTATTTTTATATTTTTTTAAAATAAACTAATTTAATAAATGGGAAACATTAAGTTGCATTATGTACATAACTACCTAATTATCTGTAATATTACATTTTCTATTTCAATCCGTGGTAAACTTGACTTCATTGTTTTAAGTTTTTTGTAATAGGTTAAAAATTTATTAGAAAAAATGAGTTGTAATGAGTGAATCAAAAATTAAATTATTGATATTTTTAGTGGGTATTTAATAGAAATGACCTCTAATTTTAAACCTTTCATGTTTTTTAAGCGTGGATCGATACGAGATTCAAAGAATTTTCTATTGTGTTTTAGACACCGATGTTGAACCAATTAATAATAATGTTTCAGAGACTAACGTCTTATCAACAACTGAACTTCGTTTTCTCACCCGGCTTCGTCTATTTATTTCGTAATTCTTCCCTTGGATTAATGTAAGTTTCGATGATTCTGTTTATTATTTTTTTTATTTGATTTCATTATGAAATACCTATTTATTTTTGCCAGCAGTATCGCCCTGACTACAAAGGCAAAAAGTATAAAAACTTCTAAAATCAAAATCTTTGTGACAAAATCCTATTCATATCTATTCAGTAGTTTTGTGTGAAAGAGTTACAAACATCCAAACTTGCAAATTTTTTTGACATCAATCGCCTTGTTTGTATTTACAAAGTTTTACCTTTCTATTAAGAATGATTTTGAGATTCTACCCTACATTTCAGCTGCGCGGTTAGCGAATCGATTACAAAATTTCCAATATTTTAAAATCCCCTTCAAATCTGACCGTCAATGTGATAACATACATTAATCACTTTACAGAGGAAAGGCAAACAATCAGCCCAGCTAAGTCAATTCTGACACTCTATGGACTATGGACCTGGGCCCGCTGAAACGTTCACTGACCTGCGACTCAACCCCCGAGGATCCTGTACTGAAGTAGCTACTGGTTGGGACATCTCACCAAGTAAGAAGAACGAGTAGGTTTCTTCAAAATAGGTATAAAACTCGTAATAAACGTCGTAATCGTAACTTGGAGCTACGTATTTCCCCTATAGATCCTAAACAGGAAGTGAAAAAAAACTAACATTAGATAGTATCCTATTCCCTATTGCTGTTCTACAAATTTAGTGCTGGGACAGCACTGCATTTGTTAACAATATTATTCAAAGAAAATCTATTTACCGCCTGTACAGGAAATTAAAAAACAACTTACATTAGGTACTTGTCCTCTTCCCCATCGCTAAGAAACTCAGTACCGGAACATATGTAGTCAATCAATAAGTCTGGCAAGACTACTAAGACCTTCATTAAAAACCATCACCTTCTTATATTATTCAAAGAAAATTTTTAACTCTTTGGGCTCCAAATTAGATTTACCCTTTGCGAGTAGTTTGAATGTTTAGTTTTATTTCTATGCGATACGTACAAAATCTTGCACCTCCATAGCGTTTTCAAGGTTATTCATTACTTTATAATGAATAAATCTATTTAACGCCTGTACAGGAAATTTTAAAAAAAACTTACATTAGGTACTTTTCCTCTTCCCCATCGCTAAAAAACTCAGTACCGGAACATATGTAGTCAATTAATAAGTCTGGCAAGACTACTAAGACCTTCATTAAAAAACATCACCTTATATTATTCAAAGAAAATTTCTTGCACGTGACTAGCGTTTTCAAGATTATTTATTAATTTATAATGAATAAATCTATTTAACGCCTGTACAGGCAATTAAAAAAAAACTTACATTAGGTACTTGTCCTCTTCCCCATTGCTAAGAAACTCAGTACCGGAACATATGTAGTCAATCAATAAGTCTGGCAAGACTACTAAGACCTTCATTAAAAAACATCACCTTCTTATATTATTCAAAGAGAATTTCAAACTCTTTGGGCTCCAAATTAGATTTACCCTTTGCGAGTAGTTTGAATGTTTTGTTTTATTTCTATGCGATACGTCCAATATCTTGCACGTGCATAGCGTTTTCAAGGTTATTCATTAATTTATAATGAATAAATCTATTTAACGCCTGTACAGGAAATTAAAAAAAAAACTTACACTGGGTACTTGTCCTCTTCCCCATGGCTAAGAAACTCAGTACCGGAACATATGTAGTCAATCAATAAGTCTGGCAAGACTACTAAGACCTTCATTAAAAACCATCACCTTCTTATATTTTTCAAAGAAAATTTTTAACTTTTTGGGCTCCAAATTAGATTTACCCTTTGCGAGTAGTTTGAATGTTTTGTTTTATTTCTATGCGATACGTCCAAAATCTTGCACGTGCATAGCGTTTTCAAGATTATTCATTACTTTATAATGAATAAATCTATTTAACGCCTGTACAGGCAATTAAAAAAAAAACTTACATTAGGTACTTTTCCTCTTCCCCATCGCTAAGAAACTCAGTACCGGAACATATGTAGTCAATTAATAAGTCTGGCAAGACTACTAAGGCCTTCATTAAAAAACATCACCTTATATTATTCAAAGAAAATTTCTTGCACCTGACTAGCGTTTTCAAGATTATTCATTAATTTATAATGAATAAATCTATTTAACGCCTGTACAGGAAATTAAAAAAAAAACTTACACTGGGTACTTGTCCTCTTCCCCATGGCTAAGAAACTCAGTACCGGAACATATGTAGTCAATTAATAAGTCTGGCAAGACTACTAAGGCCTTCATTAAAAAACATCACCTTATATTATTCAAAGAAAATTTCTTGCACCTGACTAGCGTTTTCAAGATTATTCATTAATTTATAATGAATAAATCTATTTAACGCCTGTACAGGAAATTAAAAAAAAAAACTTACACTGGGTACTTGTCCTCTTCCCCATGGCTAATAAACTCAGTACCGGAACATATGTAGTCAATCAATAAGTCTGGCAAGACTACTAAGACCTTCATTAAAAACCATGACCTTCTTATATTTTTCAAAGAAAATTTTTAACTCTTTGGGCTCCAAATTAGATTTACCCTTTGCGAGTAGTTTGAATGTTTTGTTTTATTTCTATGCGATACGTCCAAAATCTTGCACGTGCATAGCTTTTTCAAGATTATTCATTACTTTATAATGAATAAATCTATTTAACGCCTGTACAGGCAATTAATAAAAAACTTACATTAGTTACTTGTCCTCTTCCCCATCGCTAAGAATCTCAGTACCGGAACATATGCAGTCAATTAATAAGTCTGGCAAGACTACTAAGACCTTCACTAAAAAACATCACCTTCTTATATTATTGAAAGAGAATTTCAAACTCTTTGGGCTCCAAATTAGATTTACCCTTTGCGAGTAGTTTGAATGTTTTGTTTTATTTCTATGCGATACGTCCAAAATCTTGCATATGCATAGCGTTTTCAAGATTATTCATTACTTTATAATGAATAAATCTATTTAACGCCTGTACAGGCAATTAAAAAAAAACTTACATTAGGTACTTTTCCTCTTCCCCATCGCTAAGAAACTCAGTACCGGAACATATGTAGTCAATTAATAAGTCTGGCAAGACTACTAAGACCTTCATTAAAAAACATCACCTTCTTATATTATTCAAAGAGAATTTCAAACTCTTTGGGCTCCAAATTAGATTTACCCTTAGCGAGTAGTTTAAATGTTTTGTTTTATTTCTATGCGATACGTCCAAAATCTTGCACGTGCATAGCGTTTGCAAGATTATTCATTACTTTATAATGAATAAATCTATTTAACGCCTGTACAGGCTATAAAAAAAAACTTACATTAGGTACTTGTCCTCTTCCCCATCGCTAAGAAACTCAGTACCGGAACATATGTAGTCAATCAATAAGTCTGGCAAGACTACTAAGACCTTCATTAAAAAACATCACCTTCTTATATTATTCAAAGAGAATTTCTTGCACGTGACTAGCGTTTTCAAGGTTATTCATTAATTTATAATGAATAAATCTATTTAACGCCTGTACAGGAAATTAAAAAAAAAACTTACATTGGGTACTTGTCCTCTTCCCCATCGCTAAGAAACTCAGTACCGGAACATATGCAGTCAATTAATAAGTCTGGCAAGACTACTAAGACCTTCACTAAAAAACATCACCTTCTTATATTATTGAAAGAGAATTTCAAACTCTTTGGGCTCCAAATTAGATTTACCCTTTGCGAGGAGTTTGAATGTTTTGTTTTATTTCTATGCGATACGTCCAAAATCTTGCACGTGCATAGCGTTTTCAAGATTATTCATTACTTTATAATGAATAAATCTATTTAACGCCTGTACAGGCAATTAAAAAAAAAACTTACATTAGGTACTTTTCCTCTTCCCCATCGCTAAGAAACTCAGTACCGGAACATATGTAGTCAATTAATAAGTCTGGCAAGACTACTAAGGCC